TCTTGAAAATAAAAGTCAAGAACCGGGCACACTTAATGAAAAATGTATTATATTACTGACGGATTTCCCAAAAATATTAGTACAGATATGGCCTATCATATCTCATCCCTTGCAACAGTGTACCTGCTGCTCCAGTGATAACCCTTATTACCTAGACCAGCCTTTTTCAACCTTTTTAATGCAGATGAACCCTTGAAACAAATTTCTGGTGTTTAGAACCCCTGCTAACAATTACTATATCTATCTATAATTCATGATACATTAGTGTGATGGGCAGTGGGAAGAATGGTCCTTACATTTGTGGTCTTTGGGAGGAATTAACTTTTACAGATAGCTAAAAAAGATCATTGGTGTCAGTGAGAACTTGTCTAGGAGGCAGAAATAGCCCATTATTCAAGGAAAACCTAGAAACCTCTGGAGGAACCCTAGTTGAATAAACCCTGACCTAGACCCTTTTCTAGAGCTGCCCTCTTTGACAGCCTCTGGGAATCCCCTTTCCTCCCCACCAACCTGTCCCACCCTCTGGACCTTTCTTCTTCCCCATGTTTTATCCTCTATTGTCTTACTCGTTTTCTAAACTCCATTGGTTCTTCCAACATGCCTAAAGTCCTTATCCTTACGTTTTCCTCCTTGACAGCCTCTGGGACGTCCCCTGCCTCTGTTGTCCTACTCTCATTCTAAATCTCTATCTTCTTATCTGGGGTCAGCATTATGTATGCCCAATGTTTAACATGCGATTGGTGTCTAAGCATGAAAGGTAACTGCAACTTACACTATTATTGCTAATTTACCATTTATATACAATCCCCAGACATCTTTTAGCATGACCACAAATATTTTCCAGCAATTAAAGATTGCTCTCAATACTCCTTGTAAATTGCAGTCATACATTGTAGGACTGACTGAACATGTTACAGATTGTGAATACCAAAAATGAGTAAGTTTTTGCTGAGCACATCACGGTCCACTTGACAATGTACATGCATTTTAAATAGCTCTGCCATTTTTATTTTATATTAATGGAATGTATACCTGATTTGAATTTTATTTCTCTAGTCATTTATTGTCAGTAATTTTTAAAATTATTTTTTTCTTTCAGCTGGTAAATATGGAGTTTTATGCAGTTTTCTCTCTAGCCAGCAGGTGGCACTGTAGTCATTACAAAACAGATATCACTTATTAGATTGCACAGAAGGAATTTAATCAGTCTAAGGAACCTATAAAACAAGCTTTGACTGATGGGCTACCCCTTTAGCTAACCCATAGTCCTTTTGGAATCCTTTCTCATCTGCTCAATTTGTAAATAAAAGATATAAAAATAAAACAAAATTGACTCAAAACCATGATAGTTGCCCTTTTGCTGCCAGGTCCGTACATCATACAAACCTGACCGCGGGGCGTTTTACACACATTCCCAGTGGCCGATTATGTGTATATCTGGCAAGCAGACTCCTGCCTATCAGATGGAAGCATTTAGGCAGCTACGCTGCCACCCGATTGCTTCCACACAACCTAAGTAACAGCACCCCCGTGCATGCCCCCGCCACGTTTCGCTTTCCTATCTGCGGGCTCAGAACCGACACAGTGGGTGCTGCTGGGTATAGGGGCAGGAGCAGAGTGGACATATGTCCACTCTCCCCTCTTCTCCTTGTTGCTGGTCCAGAAAGCTACATATAAAATGTCACTTCTGGGGTCCATCCGTTGGTGTCCCCGGCTAGCATGGCAGGGAAAGAGTGCATTGCAATTGCATTACATTCAGTGGAGCACAAGGGAGACATCCAGCATCTTTTAGACCTTGGCTGTCTCATTAAAGAGAACCTGTCACCAAAACAAAAAAATCATCACATAGGGGACTTTTTGTCCCCTACGTGATGAGAAAAAAGTTTAAAAAAAAAAAAATGGCATAAAATTAATATTACACTTAAGCATATAAAATCTCCATCCAAAAATGTTTGAGGCCCCAACCCCCACATATACGCACGTATGAACGTAAATGAATGCGTCAGGGGTGCCTATTATTATTATTATTATTATTAAGCATGAAAACACTGATTGCAATACACGTTACATATCGTCACATACACCGGAGTGAGAGCAATATTTCTAACACAAAACCTCCTCCATAATGCTAAACTGATTACCTATAGGAGGCTTTTAAAGTGTTGCTTATGGAAAAAATAAGGTGCTGAAGTCTGTTGTCGTTTCTCAGGCGCAAGCACAATTAAGTTGTGACATGTTGGGTATCTATTTACAAGCTCATGCCCTAAAATAAATGTTAGTGTATTTTTTACTGAAATTTTGCGTTTCCTGGAACTACGACTGTTTTACTTTCTAGGGTATCTGCTTTCAGAAAATATGTTTTTGGGATTTTATGTAATTTTCAGACCTAAAATGAAAAAAAATACAAAAAAATTGCAAAAATGGCTATGGCATCGAATGGGTTAAATAGAACTTGGAACATTCTAGACCTGCCTTTCTCAACCTTTTTAGCACAGAGGAAACCCTTGATATAATTTTCTGGTCTCATGGAACCCCTGCTAAAATTAATTATATGTACAACTCATGATACATTCTAGACTGATGCTCTTTAAGTAGCACATGAGTACTTACCATTTGCAAGCTATGTCAAAAAGTTTTTTGTTTTTTTTTTTTTAAATCAATGAGGATGGCTAAAGAGGATCTTCAGCCCCTGTCCCAAACGAATTAAAGTAATCAGCTACAGATACTGTAGCGGACGTTTAATAAAAGAACACTTATTTGTCCAGGGTTCCAGCGTCATACCCACCCAGGCAGGTTCTTCGCTGGTCTTCGGGTCCCTGGTTCCAGCATGTTTATTTGGGGGAAGCTGGCTGTGTCTCATGCTGCGCATTGGGAATGGTCTTGCAGCCTCCTGGGACCTGTGACTAGTACCAGAAGACTGCTGGCAAAGAGAGGGGGGGCCAAACTTCCACTCGGATCAGCTAGGCAATCCTAGCAGAAGTGGGAGCAGGTACCTATCAAAACTAGATACCAGCTACCTCACCAAAAAAAAAAAAAAAAAAAAAAAAAAAGAAGTGTCCAAAAAAAGTGGGAGAGTAGGGGGAAGGTGGCGGAAAAGCGGAACTTTCCCTTTTGGGGGAGTTCCGCTTTATGTATTTAACATGTGTGCAAATCTGAAAACAAAATCTTTTTTAAATGTAATTATTTTTGAAGCAGCACTACAAAGCAAATATGTAGTGATTCGGTGAATAAAGGTGATTAGTGACCTCACAATGCAAAGTGTTGTAACCTTTTGGGCTATTTTTTTTTTTTTTAAACATCTTAGCTAGGCAACCACTGTATGGCAAGCCAATGATAAAATAAACCCTCTTCAAGTAACCTTGAAGACTTGCAATTGAGATGATCAGTTAGAATCGCATAGAGGCTGATGTGCAAAAACCTAACAAAAGAAGCATATATCGCTTTCAGCAATGACACAAACTTTCACTGTCATGTTAGTTAAGGACAGCACACAGCTGACATAGGTACACCTCCCCTTTTTCCTGTTCTCACACAATTTCATGAAAATTGTCCCTAATAAATTGATTTCAGAAGAAAATACTAATCAGGCACATAATCTTTGACCAAGTTCAATAAACTAAAGCACATTTATTATGTTTGATTTGTACCAGTCTTAAGGCTGAAAAACATTTGCACCAGTCCATAGATAAGACAGGCATTTTGATACCATTGTCCTGGCAAATTTAATCGGCAGTAAACTCAACTTTTATACGTCCAGCTCTGATGCGCCAATGACATAAAGAACATAGTCCGGCAACCAGCAGTGACCCCTCTGTGATCTTCTCTAGAAGATGTGTTGCCCCCAAATTTATCCTCCTTCATGGATTTACAGGGATAACATTTAGTCAATTTATTTAAAAAGTGCAACTAATTATAAAACATTTGAACCCGCTGTACTCACTGTCACATTATTGAAGGTAGAGAGGAAGAAACTGAGAACGGATTGTAATGTTTCCCGTAATCGAGAAACTGGATAACAAGCGATATGGCAGGCAGCTTAATGACGGATCCATTGCTGTATTCACACCAATAAAACAGAACTATGCAAGTGAGCTCTTCATTTAGGGTGGCATGTGGAGTGTCCCGAAAAGCTTGTGCAGGATCTATTTCAAGCTGAGCCCCCCCCCCCCATGCTAAAAAAAAAAAAAAAAAGTTTTCCAGCATCTTATCTGTTAGCATTAACACATAGTGTATGCAGAGAGAGGACACTTTGGTTTCTACCGCTCAGGCAGTAGCTAAATGTTGAGGTTGGTAAGAAAGTTGTACGTTGTAAAGAAGAGTTGAATGAATGAATTTCCCGCTTCATTTGAAGTTGTAAGCAGTGAAACCTTTAACTATAACAATCAATGGATATAAACCGGAACACACATATTTCCAAGGGTAAGGCTTATGTGCAATTTAGTAAAACGATCGTATAATTTAAAAGAATCATGGATCGGTGAATACAGAATGAGGCATTAGGCAGAATAAGCATTAGATGTCTAAATGGATCCTGAATTAGCCAAGGAACCAGAGCGGAGAACCCCTAATGTGCGAACAATCATGTTTTTTGTGCTCCCTCATGATGCATAGCCCCCAGGCTGCACTGTGAATGCTTTTGACAGTACAGAGGTTAACAGTGATCAATTATGAGAAAAAAAAAAAAAAAAGGTAGGCTGTGAATTGCATGTCCCGCCTCCCTTATTTACCAAGTCATCCCTTTAATCTACATAATGTCTCCACAAGGTTGACAGTACTGGCTCGAAATATACATGAGATATATGACAGGCAGCTCAGTGTACTTTCAGCTCAACAGAACTGATGTTGCAGAAATCAGTGAGTACAGGAAGCTGATGGGAGTTAAAGGCTCACACATAAGTGGCTGGGAAACTCCCAAATAGCTGACAGCTTCACATTGCTTACATTCCACGTTACATTGCCAGAATCCCTATTTATTGGTCTCTGGGCACAAGGAGGGACAGTCACTGTTGTGCCAACTCTCCGTCCGGCTGTGTGCTGCCATGGTATGTCTGATCCTCTGCCATCTCGCTGTCAGGGGAATCTGAACGATGCCGCAGTTTTTTATGTTCGCTCTGTGAGTTGTCTGTGTCTTCATTCACGGATGTCTTAGAGGCACCTTGAACGCCGTCTTTGATCCCCTGAAGGAGGCGGCATGCTGAGCCCACGGCCTGCGGCCTTGGCATGTCAGGGGGGCTATCCACACCGTCATCCGCATTGATGCGATCTTCTGAATAAGGTGGTGGAAGCAGGTCCTGTGGTCTAGATGTGGCACCTTCATTGTCCCCGGAAAAAAAAACGTTACCATGTTCTCTGCAGGCACTTCTGTCTGGATTAACATGGACTGACACAGGTCTAAAAAAAAAAAAAAAAAAAAAAAAAATTAGAAAACAAATTTAAAATTAAATGTTTTAGCAGCAATGAAAAGCCAAAATGAATGCAGCAGACCGAGGACAGCAATAAATTGTTGTGTGATAAATGTAGATTTAAACTCAATCATATTAAATAAATGATACACATCTGGACAATTTTATTTAATGCAAACGTTTGAATTTTAAAAGTTGCAAATCATTACTATGCTTTAAAGCTGAACTCCAGGCAAACATCTAAATACACAGATCAAATACATACATGGAAGCTGCTTTCCTTCCCAAACACCTGTATATCTGTTTACTCATTACTGAGAATCACACAGCTCTACCAGGCAGAAGAATCAAAAGCCTTATTCCTGAACCCTGCCTGTGAACGAATGGTGAAGGAGCAGCTACAGGCTGATTAGCTCCCTCTGTCACTTTGACTCCTCCTGTCAACATGTTTCTTGTTAGCCGCACATGAACATTGCAGCAAAACTGATAGGCTCTTTGTGCCACCTCTCCCTCACCCAGTCTCAGCTCTGCTGTACATGAGATTACAAGAGGCTGATACCAAGTCAAAGTGAGATAACTACATTAGTTGACTCAGCTAATCACTGGTTTAAAGGAAACCTATACCGAGAGAAAAACATGAGGTTTATCATTGCTTCTGCTTCTATAAATACTAGTTCCCTGTATGTCTGTTGCCTGAATGTTTTAACATATCAACATGGAACTTCAATTTATAAACAAACTTTTCTGTAGTTTCAAATGATGTAGCCATTGAGATTATTAAATATATAACCTACTGACAATTCAATTACCCTTTCTGAAAACGGAAGGATAACATACAAATCAGCTGATCTCTTAACCAGAAAGAAGAATTTGTTTTATATGCCTATTCTGTTTTAAAATAATTAGTTGTAGCCATAGTAGTGTTTGTACTCACCCACACTGTTACCAGATTTGTAATGTTTTTGCTAGGCCCCTTGCACATGTGGGCTTGTCTAGGAGTAGTGCACACCCCTCCTGCTGTTCTAGTGTGCTCGGGAGGCACAGGTGCAGCCTCCAGTCCCATTTCAGGGAGCCTATCAAAGTTTATGGCAAACTGTGGCTGGACAGGGCTGGCCGATGTACTGAGTGATTCCCAGGTTTAAGTAGAGCCCTGTGTGTTCAGCTATAAAAGGTCTGGAATGCAATTAAACTTTGCCATAGACTTTTACAAAACTGGCCTGAGGTTCTTTAATGTGATCAGTTTAGAAGCAAATTTCTTTTTTTAGGTTCAAAAATTCCTAACTGATATACAGATTTACGCCAAACCATTCAGTCTTGAATAGCTTAGACCTTGTGAAAAGCTTATTAAGAATACTAAAGATCCCTTTTAGCTGTCTGAAACAGTATAATTTGGTGTGGAATATTCTCTTCTTGGCAAATGAACGATATCAAAAGAATGTTAATATCTGTATCCCACCAAAGCAATGCTTCAGATGCCTTAAAGCTCACAATGTCTTCTGTAAAATATGGAAAGACTGATAATATGTTGGCTGGAATGGGACCAGTTATATATTGAGGGAACATTATGTATACTTAGTGTGTGTAGTATGTATATACAGTTGTGCTCAAAAGTTTGCATACCCTTGCAGAAATCGCAACATATTGGCATTTATTTTGAAAATATGACTGATCATGCCAAATACGTTTATAAGGGATATGGATCAAATGAAGCAATTTATGGTCACATAGTTGTTTGGCTCCCTTTTAAGCCCTGGTTCATAACTGTGGGGTCGTGCGGGTTGCGATTTTCACGGGCACAAGAGCCCATTAATTTGAATGGACTCCCATGCCCTGGGACATGCAGGGAAGAAGTCCCTGCACTACTTTGGAAATCGTAGCCCACATGGGATCCAAGGTTCCCAGTATGGTTGCAATTTCCAGCGCGGGCGGCGTGCCATTAGAATGGCATACGTCTGCAGGTCCCGCATTCCTCTGTGTGGGTGGTGTGGCTGCAGGTATTTGCACCATCCGCACAGATGTGAACCAAGAGTAAATCATAATGATAAACAAAAATCACCCAAATGGTCCTGATCAAAAATGTACATACCCTGAAATGTTTGGCCTTGTACAGACACACAAGGTGAAACACACGTTAAAATAGCAATTAAAAGGTTAATTTCCCACATCTGTGGCTTTTTAAATTGTAATTAGTGTCTGTGTATAAATACTCATTAAGTTTGTTAGGTCTTACATGGATGCATTGAGCAGGCTAAACACTGAGCCATGGGGTGCAGAAAAGACCTGCGTAGCAAGGAAAAGGAACTTTATAAAGCTGGAAAAGGCTATAAAAAGATATCCAAAGCCTTGAATATGCCAATCAGTTCTTAATCACTTATTAAGAAGTGGAAAGTTCTGGGATCTTGATACTAAGAATTGTTTGGGATACAAAAAAAAACCCCACAGGTAACCTCAGGAGAAATACAGACTGCTATGGAAAAAGACAGAGTGATTGTTTCAAGGAGCACAATATGACGATACTTGAACAAAAATGAGCTGCATGGTCGAGCTGCCAGAAAGAAGCCTTTACTGGGCCAATGCCACAAAAAAGCCCGGTTACAATATGCCCCAAAAAAAAACCTTGACATGCTTTCCCGGGCTTTTAAAGGGTATAACATGTTCTGCACTATACCCCTCTAACCCTCCCTCCCCCCTCCTTGTGGCAGCGAGCCCCGGGGATCTTCTCCCCGAGCTCGCTGCCACAATTAAAGAAAACTCTGCTCACATGGTTGCATCATTGATTCACAGATCCCTGTGAATCAATGAACGACAAAGTTTGCTTACATTTTTTTTTTGAAGGGTAGCTGAAGTGTTCAAGCATCAGGGTACAAAGGGTAGCACGTAGGACTGTTTGTTTTTACAATATAACTATTATGGTTTTGCACAGCCAAACTTTGATTCCTTTTCCCCATTATTTTGACATGGCGGTTGCTATGTCAATTGATTGTAACATGTTATACGAAAAACGTGAAAAAAACATCTTTATAAAAATCTACTTTTCTTAGCAGATTACTCTTTGCCCAATAGCTATAGCCATGTATTGTCTAACATGCCCCATAATATTCCGAGGTCTCTATGACGGTACATCTCTGCTTGAAAGGGAAGCAATAGTCCCCCAATCAGGTTCCCAGACTTACTTTCTTTACGCTGCTTTTCCGCTTTCCTCTTGGCGATTTGCGCTCGCAGCTCATTTACTTCTAGTTGATGGGATTCAACAATCCTCTCACTTTTCTCCACCTCCTCACACACAGCCTAGCCAGTGACAAGACATGGGAGGCAATGAGTGGCACATTCATACATTTCCTAACACAAAACTTTGCACCACAATGAGAGATGCTTACCTGCACCTTTTCCTGCAAAGCGTTATAAACCTGATAAATTAATCGGATGTCCTTCATCACACCATCTTTATCAAAAAAATTGGTACTGAAACAAAAAAATAAATAAAATGAGAAGTTACTTTGAAAATGACAGCTCATCCACACATATGAAATTTAGCACTGCTAAATAAAAATAAAATGCTAAATAACAAAGTAGAATTTCAGGCAAAATCTAACTAGTCTGAAAAATGCTTCCCCCTTCCCCCTCCCCCAACAGCCATGCTGATTTACCTGTATGAAAAATATGTACGGTCTACACCTACCTTTTTGCAAATTATCGCTCCAGGAAGAAGACGGTCTGTGTCCAGCGCTGATCAACCGCTGGCAATCGCTGCTTACGTACAGTCAGGTCCATAAATATTGGGACATCGACACAATTCTAACATTTTTGGCTCTATACACCACCACAATGGATTTAAAAAGAAACGAACAAGATGTGCTTTAACTGCAGACTGTCAGCTTTAATTTGAGGGTATTTACATCCAAATCAGGTGAACAGTGTAGGAATCACAACAGTTTGCATATGTGCCTCCCACTTGTTAAGGGACCAAAAGTAATGGGACAGAATAATATTCATAAATCAAACTTTTACTTTTTAATACTTGGTTGCAAATCCTTTGCAGTCAATTACAGCCTGAAGTCTGGAACGCACAGACATCACCAGACGCTGGGTTTCATCCCTGGTGATGCTCTGCCAGGCCTCTACTGCAACTGTCTTCAGTTCCTGCTTGTTCTTGGGGCATTTTCCCTTCAGTTTTGTCTTCAGCAAGTAAAATGCATGCTCAATCGGATTCAGGTCAGATGACTGACTTGGCCATTGCATAACATTCCACTTCTTTCCCTTAAAAAACTCTTTGGTTGCTTTTGCAGTATGCTTTGGGTCATTGTCCATCTGCACTGTGAAGCGGCGTCCAATGAGTTGTGAAGCATTTGGCTGAATATGAGCAGATAATATTGCCCGAAACACTTCAGAATTCATCCTGCTGCTTTTGTCAGCAGCCACATCATCAATAAATACAAGAGAACCAGTTCCATTGGCAGCCATATATGCCCACACCATGACACTACCACCACCATGCTTCACTGATGAGGTGGTATGCTTAGGATCATGAGCAGTTCCTTTCCTTCTCCATACTCTTCTCTTCCCATCACTCTGGTACAAGTTGATCTTGGTCTCATCTGTCCATAGGATGTTGTTCCAGAACTGTGAAGGCTTTTTTAGATGTCGTTTGGCAAACTCTAATCTGGCCTTCCTGTTTTTGAGGCTCACCAATGGTTTCCATCTTGTGGTGAACCCTCTGTATTCACTCTGGTGAAGTCTTCTCTTGATTGTTGACTTTGACACACATACACCTACCTCCTGGAGAGTGTTCTTGATCTGGCCAACTGTTGTGAAGGGTGTTTTCTTCACCAGGGAAAGAATTCTTCGGTCATCCACCACAGTTGTTTTCCGTGGTCTTCCGGGTCTTTCGGTGTTGCTGAGCTCACCGGTGCGTTCCTTCTTTTTAAGAATGTTCCAAACAGTTGTTTTGGCCACGCCTAATGTTTTTGCTATCTCTCTGATGGGTTTGTTTTGTTTTTTCAGCCTAATGATGGCTTGCTTCACTGATAGTGACAGCTCTTTGGATCTCATCTTGAGAGTTGACAGCAACAGATTCCAATTGCAAATAGCACACTTGAAATGAACTCTGGACCTTTTATCTGTTCATTGTAATTGGGATAATGAGGGAATAACACACACCTGGCCATGGAACAGCTGAGAAGCCAATTGTCCCATTACTTTTGGTCCCTTAACAAGTGGCAGGCACATATGCAAACAGTTGTAATTCCTACACCGTTCACCTGATTTGGATGTAAATACCCTCAAATTAAAGCTGACAGTCTGCAGTTAAAGCACATCTTGTTCGTTTTATTTCAAATCCATTGTGGTGGCATATAGAGCCAAAAATGTTAGAATTGTGCCGATGTCCCAATATTTATGGACCTGACTGTAATTACTTGTGAGCAGCCACAGGTATTTGCAGAAGCTGTTAGCCTCTCATGGTTTTCCAAAGGGACTTACTGCCCGCAACTAGTCACAGGGAACCCACACATGTAACTGCAAATGGGCCCTATTCGCAAAAGTGAATCGGACCTTAAAGTGTACCTGTCATTATATATACTTTTCACATGTATACATATAATCTGTAAGTGCCACACTTACAGGTATTTATTATGTCTCAGAGGGATCACAGTGTTCACACTGACAAAGCCGTCACTTGTTGTTCTATCTAGATGGATAGCACCATCTTTATTCACGCATGGTCCAGAGTCATCATCTACTCCTGGACTGAAATACTGGCTCAGATAATAAACAGTCATGTAAATCCTGGCGCCTGTCTAGGTCTGCACTGTGATTACAATTTTTTTAAAATAGATCAGCCCCTGCAGCAGGATCTTGTGACTTATTACTTGTTACCAGCTGTCCAGACGATTCCCATAGCAATGGTTTGCAACGTTCTGATGTTAAGATTTAATAGACTGGCATTTAATCATATCATATGTCTGCTAATCCTCTGCCCTGATCCTGCTCCTGGTGAGTGATAGAGCTTACTTAAGTCAGCATGGAAGAGAGGAAGAGGAGGAGATGCAATGCCCATCAATACTGAGCAGCGCCGGAGCTCTGAGACAATGGGGTTGATTTACTAAAACTGGAGAGTGCAAAATCTGGTGCAGCTCTGCACAGAAACCAATCAGCTTCCAGTTATTTTTGTCAAAGCTTAACTAAACAAACTGCAAAAGCCGACTGGCTACCATGCAGAGCTGCACCAGATTTTGCACTCTCCAATTTTAGTAAATCAACCCCGATGAGTCTGACAAATCCAGCACATGTGCAATGGAGGAAGCATTCCAAGTATACAATGGTACCTCGGTTTACGAACACCTCTCGGTTAACAATTTTTGGTTTACAAATGAAAATCCATTGAAAATAATGCCTCGGTATAAGAATTTTTTTTCGCAATACGAAGCACGTTTCCGCAGGATGCATTGCGCCTGGGAGGTTTATAGCACCAGCCCCGTGCATGCTGGAGTCTGTGGGTAGCACATGACGTCGAGTGTGGAGGTGTTGGAGCATTTTTTTCATCGAGTTTTGGAGCCATTAGGAAATGTTTTAACATGTCCCTGTACAGTATTTATGCCTTTAAAGTGCACTTTATAAAGAGCTTTGAGCAGATAAAAGACTTTTTTTTTCTTTACTTTTTTTTACCTCCAGAACGGATTAATTGGTTTTTAACTCATTCCTATGAGAAACCGCGTTTCGGTTTAAGAATTTTTCACAGTACGAAACGTCCCGGAGAACGCATTAAATTCGTAAACCGAGGTATCACTGTACAGTTCTTTCAAAACTGGGGAGATCGGCCAATTCAATAGCAGCTGTTTAGCTCTGTTGGGCCGGACCTAGACTTAAGGCCATAAGCAGAAAAATGGAAGAATCACCAGATATTTTACTTATATTAATTAAAAACCATTTAAAAGAGCATACTGTTATTATATACATATTGGGACTTTGAAAAATATAGCTTTTTTAAAATTGTTCCCTTGAGAAACTCTTTTTCAAACACTGACTGAGAACAATTAAGCACTCTGTCAGTCAGTGACTCAAAGTACTGAAGAGAGTAGGTCAGCATAACAGCTAGAGCAATTACATTCTCAAAATGCAGTCTGCAATAACACCCTTTATATTATAATAAACAAGTGCAGTTACACATGATGAACATACTAACCCATGCTCTTTGATCACTTTGGCATAGTTCTGAGATGTGTTTGGCACTGACGTCACTTTATATTCCTGCTGACTGGTTGTGCCCAGGTTTGGAATTGTAAGAGACACTCTCTGGTTATACCTGGATAATAAAGAAGACAAATGACTTTTAAACCATAGAGTGAGGCTGGATTAGAGAACGATGAGCATTAATAAAGAATATATTTAACATCTCGATTTCAAAGCATTCCACATAGACTACTCTATTTTCTGAGTTATTTCCTTCTCTGTGTTCATTTAAGGTTGGGAAGCTGCCATATAGGCCTTGGCAATCTATCAGAAGCACATATAAAAGGAAAACTGAGACACGACGTAAGCCATAACTACAGTAATGAAGGTTGGACTTGTCCGTTTGCTTCAGAGTGCTGTATAATGGACCATGATAAAGCACTTCCATAACTTTTAAAGATGCAATATTCTGGACCACAGATGGCAGGAAACTGAGCTAGCTATAATGTGGACTCTTGCTAACCTTACACAACAGATCTTTTATGATTAGCCTTGCACAAACAAGCCCTGGAAGTGTACTTCTGCTCTACAGTGTGATCTGTATTCATTTATATGAAAATTTTAAAAAGGGTATCTCATAAGAGATTCAAGGGCACAGGGACATTCAATTCAGGCATTCCAAACTATTTTATGTCACATAGAGCAGTCTGGTGAGATAGCAGTTTCTGCCTGACACCCTTCGGCCTGCTCGGGTGCCTAATTGGGCTACTGGAGGTGAGGTCTATTTATCTAGCTCTAGAGTGGTAACCAGAAAAAGGGTAGAAAAGAACTTTGGGCAGGCTATATACATTTAAATATTTACATATTCTTGAAAGGCAATAAGCGAATTAACCTGTATCTGCAAGGCACTAGAAGCAACTGATCCTTTAAGATCACAGGAGACGCCGTGACGTTATCTAAATCTTTTTCTCAATAGCCTGTCTTCCCCTCTCTTCATAGCTTCTTTCGTATTTACATTAAAAATTAGAAGGCTGCTGAGGTCACTGCTGGTTTGGGGGAGCAAGAGAGGCTAAGCTGCTAACAGTATGACTTGATGCACTTCACCGTTTCTATTGTGAAATTGAAGAATTGTTCCAGAGTGCCTGCAGCTACAGAGATCAGTTAGGGCTTGTATTACCTTCATTTAATACTTGTTAAGGATATGTCAATAATAAAATGTTCACAGCCTGGGTACTGTTCTACTGTAAAGGATAAGTTCACATTTTCAAAAAAAAAAATAAATGCACATCTTTTGCAGGTTAAAAAAAATGTAAATTTACTATTTTTTTCTTTAGGAGCCTGGAAAGCTTTGCACCAGCAATCAGCAGATTGCTGGTGCCATGCAGGACTCCTGCAGACTGTCAATGTGAACTGTCAGCCCATACTTCATTGAGAACTTCAAGCCGAATAAGTATGGGTGTAACATGTTACGAAAGGTGAACTTATCCTTTAATAATTACTGTACAAGGCCTTAGTGACGGAATTGAAAAGCTCTCCAAACACTCACATCACATCATTTTCACTTTATGATCAAGCAACTATTAATAGATTATTTTATACCACAATAAATGAAACATCAAACTTAAACAAAAACATGTGCATTGTGGAGCAAGCACAGATCAGCATACATTCTAAAGCATCTTGCAAGGAGGAAGGTGGGAAGCCTTTATTGCAGAAGAGACATGGTATGTCTCTTCTGCAATAATAATCCTTCCTGTTTCCAAATTTTAATTTCAGGGCGAAGTTTCGTTTTAAATTGAGTGCTGAATAACAGCAAGATTATTATAAGAAATACTTGCACAATTCCCTCCTATTATGACCTCCTGATCAATGAATGAGGGTCCTGTACTTTCTGTTGTGGTCAACTTCTGTAATTATCACTGACAATCATTAAAGCAAAACTAAACCCTCCTATCCTTTGCAGCCAAAGAAGCTGACATACTAGCCTCCGTTTGATCTGCAGTTGCCATGGTGCTGCACATATGATCAGTTACAACAACAGCCATTTGATGGTTTAATAGTTTGGCAGAAGCAGATGTGAGAGTTATCACTCATGTGATGCCTTGAATATAACTGTTTTGGCAGACCATTAAATTGATGGGTTTATTTCTGAATTCACAGTGAACCTACCTGCGATTAGGTCTGAAAAGCACATATTCCAAGGCATGAGTGGAAGTGTTGGCAGTTGAGATAAAGCCGATGAGAAGGAAGACGAGGTCAGGTACTCCGAGGATACGAGTCAGCTGTTTGTGCAAAATCTGTTCTCTGTATGACATTTGTTGCTGCGTGTTTCTTCTAAACTTGTACCAGCCAATCACGTTCTACACAACACACCAGATTAAGACAAACTGGGTTTTACAATGTGTCACAATGTATCAAGGTGTGTTCTCAGTGGACAAAATGACAGATCAGAAACAATCAAATCACAGTTATGACAGACTGATGTGACACTCAAATCAAATCACAGTATTTAAAAGTGGACCTGCATTTATGGGCATATTTATAAGGCAGCGGTTGTGACTCACCAAATATTCACTGGTAGTGAGTCAATCGCTGTCATTTAAAACACATACAGCAGACAATCTCCAACTATGAATAGTGAATGTCACCATCCCAGTTTCTGTAAATATGCCCCTTAAAATGTAAAGTTCGGTTGTTTACTCTGGATTTATTTGCACAGTTTACTACGACAAAGCAATCAGTTAAAAATGTCACTACTGTCTTTTTTTGCTAGTTCTTCCTGTCATGTTCAGCTCATGGCTATTCAGCAGTCACTGACCTGAAGTAAACACAAGGCCAATAAAGACAGACGTTTTAACCTGCATACTTGTTAAATTAGTAACAAATTAAAGCTGAACCCCGGGAAGATATAAAAGACACAAATTAATGTAGATATATATTCAGTACTAACATAATTACATATATAATTTAAATGAGAGACAACTATGTGTGCTGCATGCAAAATGTGTTAAACATGTATCATACTGATAGGAGTGAGCAGAGAGTGACTTCATCAGTTTGCTGCTGCTTTCAAAATCTATTCAGAAAACTAAGGTGGGAAAGGAGACACCACAGTACTTCTTGACTGTACATGGTGGATGTACTGTGTGAAGGGGCTGTGTTAATCTCAATAATGGATGAACACAATCACAAATCCTTTGGTAGGTAAAACAGCATCCATATATGCATTTCGCGGTCTGTCTGCAGTTCAGCTTTAAGCAGTGAAGCCATAAACATAAGAATGACAGCCATGAAAAAAGCACATGGCTGCACATTAGAAACTGCTAGGTACCAAATAGTATAACTGGTTACAAAATCTGTTGCCTCATGGTATAACAGAACATTCTATTTATTTATTTTTGATCACCAAATCACTGATCACCGGTGTAAACAGTCAGTGATAAAGCCAGTCATTATTGATTACAGAGATATAAAGCAAACATATTTTCAAGAACGCCATACTGGAACAATGATCATACTTTCCGTCTGTCTTTGAGAATCTGATCAAGCCTTTCCTCGTTGACAGTGCCAGCGTAATCATAGTAACTGTCAGAATTAAAAAAAAGTTATAATCACACTCAGATGAAGTGTTATCTAAAATATCACAAATTGGATGAAAAAAATAATTACAACCTATACTATACAATAACTGTTGGGATCCTTGTACAACACAGCCTGCATGTAGCATTTCATGTCCAGGTGAGTTGTCACTGTAAAGCACCACGTCCATTTCTCAGTCTGAGCCTTATATTACTCTGACCGAGTTATTACAACTATTTTGTTATTAGTTCATTAAATGACCCATTCATATTATTTGGTTGCAGGGACAAGGGATAGCAACAGGGAAAATGCACATAAGCACAATTTCCCCAACTTCAGGCTCAATCTCCCTCTCCTTAAAAGCTCCCTCTGGAGCATGTTATCCTTTAGTTTGCTTCATTCTAACCTTCCCCAGATGTCCTTAGGCTGGTCATTTGACTTGCTATGGCCTTATCTCCAGCATTGGGTTAGTTCTGAATGATGCAGAGTGCGGCGCTGGTGTGAGTGCAGAGTGCCATGGTGACTGTCTCTCAGGGAGTGGGTCCATGACACTGTTCACTAACAGTATGTCCACAAATGTTTGAATTCAAAGATGCTGCATGTCATTCAAACCAAACAGATTGAGAAAGTCTAGCGATAGACTTGCGATCTTGTGAACCTCTATGCGCAGGCGTTATCTCGGTGCAGTCAATCAAGTTGGCTGAAGATCCCAAACCCAGAAGACAACCGGATGAAGATGTTGGTGGGAGTAAGAGAGCTTATACATACTGTATGTGCCAAGCAATCAATGTTGCTCGCTTTAAAAAAATAAAATAAAACAAAAATCCTGCCAATTTTTGTGTGAATCGTTACTTAGCATCACAGGTGAAATACTTCTAAATTCAAGCCTATCTACAGCAAAAACTATGTTATGTTTTCAACAGCGTGGTGAAGGGTTAGATCCTCTTTTGGGTTTTTATTGCAGGGACATCCCTGCTCTAGAGATTTTTCTTATTTGTGTTCTCCGGGTTCTATCCCTTCCAAACTCTACTAAAGACAAGTGTTATCACGCTACTCCAGCTGGAGAGGTACCCCTAACTTCATGTATCTCCTTTGGCCACACCCGAGAAATTAAATATCTCATAGCAAAGGTTAGGAAAAAATGTTTTGCATAGAAACAAATTCTTGACTCTTTCTCCTTTAAAAAAAATGAACAAATAAATAAGCTAGGACTTTAAAGTAAACCTGTACTTTGCCAAACAATTGGTTCCCTTTAATGATACTGCCTAAACCAAGGAGTGGAGAGAGGAAGACTTATGTGAGCGCCATGTCACGACTGTTAGATTTCATCATTAATGACCACAGTGATTCAAGCCCTTGTATTTGGGGTACCCCTTCTGTCTTCTTGATAGTGCAGCGTGTTGCTCCTCAGTGGCCTTCCCCAGAATTATACTCACCGTCTCTAGCACTGCAGCATCCCAGAGATCCCCGCCGGCCAGTCTGATCTTTCATTGGTTGGGTCTAGATGGTGTTACCTGCACATGCAGGACGTACCGGCAGGTAAGGAACTTTAATGCAGTCACTTATACATTAAAAATCCAATTTGTTTGCCTTTTTCTTTTTTACCTAAAGTTCTACTTGAACTCATCCTCTACACCTAGAGCTGGACATCAGCAAAAGGGAAATGCAAGGAAGAGTCAATGCACTGTCTCATAAGATTTCATCACTAATGACCGCAGCTACTCACATGTATGTACTCTGTGGCTCCTCTTCTGTCTTGCTGATAGGGGTGCGTTGCTCCTCAGTGAGCTTCCCCAAGGTGGGCTTGTATGTGGGATTATCATGTAGTTAATTAAAAACTACATTTCCCACAATCCTTATCATCATAGGGGTGAGGGATAAGGGCTTTATAGTGGAACTTTAACCACCCTCTCTCCAGCACTGCAGTGTCCCCAGAGCCCCCCCCCATCAGCTGGTCTGATCTTTGCCCATTTTCATTGGCTGGGTCGAGATTACATCACCTGTACACACAGGGCGTACAGGCAGGTAAGGAATTTTAATGTAGTCTCTTCTGCATTTAAAATCCTATATGTATCCTATCTAATGGCTGCTGCATTCTCCAGCCCATCGTGTGGCACTGAGGCCATTAGCACAAACCCCCAAGGCAGCTTAAAGACCCTTCAGGGGTTAATTCAAATGGAGAACATGGGAGACCAGCAACAGCAATTCATTTAAAGGTAAGTGTAACACACACACACTTTAAAGTATATGTCCTGGCAATAAACAAATTTAATTTAAATGTCCCAGCATTAATTTTTGTTCCTGTAGCACCTGCAGGGAGTTCAGTTCCTAGAGGTGTAGGCATGGACCCAGAACTACAATGCCCAAAAGACCTTTCCCATTAATTTAATGGGAAATGCACCCTTTTCCCTCCCTTCATGCAATCTGGTTAGCCTGTGAAAAATCAGATAGCCAGTGAAAAAAGGCAGACAATGGCGAGGAGGTTAGAAGAAAAGATACTAAACAAGTGCAGGTTCCACAAATTCCGATTTAGAGAGCTTATTAACATACCTGTAACTACTTAATTGTGCAATGCAGGTCTGTTTTCATTAACAATACTTTTGCATGTCATTAAAAACAAATTATAGTAAAGAGTTAAATATATTGGAATGCCAACCTGAATAACTTTGTACATGGCTCATGTTTATGGATCTCTGAAAGATAAAACAAAACAATCAGGTTATATAAAAAAAAGAAACAAACAGACAAGTAGACACATAGTAAAGATAAGACGATTTAGACTCACCTATAACTTGCAGTAGTTCTGTGTTACTAATCTGAGAATCACTTATAGAGAAAGACTCTTCTTGCCTGACTTCGCCCAGCAGAAAACCTTCCTGAAAATAAAGTACAGAACATTAAAAAGGAAACATTTTATAATCGATCAAGATACAAATAGAATTACAGTACATACAGATGCTGGTTTATAATGGAACCAATACTGAGCATGGATGTTGCCTTTAGTAGGCCATCCATCATTAACAAAGTAAAAAGGATCTGGAATCTAAGGTGCTGCTAAGAAGAAAACTTGCAATCCTAATGGCTCCTGATTAAATAAATCAGAATCTTGTATAAATTGTTACTAAAATACAGAAGACGGTTGCCACCAGCAAAGAGATTTAAGGTGTTATCTTCCAAAATATAGATAAAAAAAGGAAACACTAGCTGTTTGGACAGTACCAATATATCATGGGCATCACAGTGGCTAAATGGTTAGCACTTCCGCCTGGCAGTACTAGGGTCATTGGTTCAAATCCCAGCCATGGCACCACCTGCCTGGAGTTTGCATGTTCTCCCTGTGCTTGCGTGGGTTTCCTAAGGGTACTCCGGTTTCCTTCCACACTCCAAAGACATGCTGGTAGGTTAATTGGGTCCTGTCTAAATTGTATGAATGTGAGTTAGGGACCTTAGATTGTACACCCCTTGAGGGTTAGGGACTGATGTGAATGTACAATATATATGTATGTAAAAGCGCTGCGTAAATTGATGGCACTATATAAGTACCTGAAATAAATAAATAAATATCTGCTCCAGATAGTGATGGAAAATTACTAAGGTTGCACCGATACCGATGCTAAGCATTTGCGCGAGCACTAGTGCAAATACTCCGATACCTGAAACATATACCGGTACCTTTGTGGTGCGATTTGAGCCCATACAAAACGAATGGGCTCAAATCGCACTGCAAAGAACTGCATGTGATCTGAACAGGAATGTGGTGCAATTCCAGTCCAAATCATATGTGGTTTCCCCCCACTAGTGTGAAACCATGCTTGTCATAGTGACTTCAGCCTGGGATCACACAGGAGCAGGTAGGGAAACCGCATGCGAGTTGGACAGGATTTGCACCACATTCTTGTGAAAATGGCATATCATTCTTTGCAGGACAATTTGAGCCCATTCATTTTGTATGGGTTCATATCACATATACATAGGTATTGGTAACCAGAATCAGTACTTGTACTTGTCGATTTAAAAAAAACAAAAACACAGGATTGGTGCAACCCTAATAATTACAATCCAAGAGATTGTTTACTTCAGAAACTGTGTTATACCCTGGACATTGGTGTGCGCTGGAGGGGAGAGGTGGTATTATGGAGCATTACACAGGTTATTTTTTTTCAACTTTAATGCAATATCACAAAATGACATTTTACTTGCAATGCAGTGGGATTAGCAACATGCTGCACCAAAAAGGAAAAAAAAAAAAAAAAGCTCAATGTGTCTTATCTTTCATCAGTGCAGTGTCGTGATCTGAATGTAACTCAGGACTCAAGGTAAATTGCTTTGCCTGTACACTGGGGCCAGTATTCTGTTCTAGCCACTGACACCCACCATGCCAGTCCCAGGTCTGTAGGTGGGACAGAAGAGCCTAGGAAAAATTCCGGCAGAAGTCAAACGATCACCTGAATCTCTTCTACATAAAAGCCCTTTGACTATTTTATGAATTTAAACACACTACCCACTGCTATTGTGTTTTTAGAATCCGGATCTATTAACCATCGTTTAGGAACAGTGCTGGAAGACTCTCTTGTATCTCACACACACACTTTTTTTCATATGCATTCTGTGCATGTTTAGACAATTTCCCATGAAAATGAATGTGTTTAATTTGTTTTAGTAGTCCTGATGAAGGGGATTACTTTGGCCACTGAAATACATTGGCTGTCTGTATGACCAATTTTTCAACAAAATTGATCTTGGATTCTCATCCATGTTGGTCTGGCACAAAAATATTTCTCTATTTGGAGTACCCACTGAGGGCAGCCTTGCCATGTGAGAGCTGCCTCACCAGCGCTATTAAAGTGTTACTAAACCCACAACAGTAAAATCAGTCTGTATATGCAGTAAAGCATGCTTGTTATACTCACTGTGGAACTGAAGGGGTTAATCCTCTGCATTGTGTAAAAAGGCAGTTTGATCCTGACTTCTCTGATCCTCCCCTTCTTCCAATGCCCCCCCCCCCCCTTATCTCCTGATAAGAGGTATTGTGTGCAGACACTCTGCACATGCTCAGTTTGGTGTTCATTGCTAGAGAGGTGTTTATTTTTTTTTTCTTGGGAGAGTGCATGTGATCAACACAGGGCCAATCAGCACTGTCCAAACAGAGGTCAGGGGTTTTTCATCCTCCTAGAGCAGAAAGAAAACTCCTCCTACAAGCTTTAACCAGTGCTCTGCTGAACACTCATAGAAGTCACAAGATGCTCTAACTGCTGATATAAAAAGGTATTTAGCAGTTTATATTTACTAAAATAATTGCACTTCCATGTTCTGTGTACTGTGGGAGACCAGATATAGTGAATGCAGGGTCCTGGGTTTATGAGCACTTTAAGTTTGTTTGAAGTTCTCCCTTCACTTGATTGCACAAACACGTTTTTAAATTACAGCGCCTCTTAGAGATGTTTATCTGGACCTTTTAGAGAACCGACAGCCACCACATGTCTGGTTTTAGTTGAATGTTTTCCATACACAACTGACAGAAAGCCGCTTGAAATGCTGTCAGTTATTTCTGAATGCTGCCTCAAACCTACCAGAGCAGAATTTAGTGGCTTTTACTCTTTCCATAATCCAGTATGGACCCCTTTTCAAGATTTACATGTTGTCACAGTGTGGCCCCTAATACACATGCGACAACCAGATCCTTATTCCGTGCAGGAACAATCCTATACATGGTCACCCCATGCAATCCTTAAAGTGACACTAAACAATATCCTTACCCTCCAAAAAGCAATCTATACACATCCACTACTTTTTATTTTTTAAAGATATACAGTATCTCACAGGAGTCCACCCCTCACATTTTTGTAAATATTTTATTCTATCTTTTCATGTGACAACACTGAAGAAATGACACTTTGCTACAATGTAAAGTAGTGAGTGTACAGCTTGTATAACAGTGTAAATTTGTTGTCCCCTCAAAATAACTCAACACACAGCCATTAATGTCTAAACCGCTGGCAACAAAAGTGAGTACACCCCTAAGTGAAAATGTCCAAATTGGGCCCAATTAGCCATTTTCCCTCCCCGATGTCATGTGATTGATAGTGTTACAAGGTGTCAGGTGTGAATGGGAAGCAGGTGTGTTAAATTTGGTGTTATCGCTCTCACTCTCTCATACTGCTCACTGGAAGTTCAACATGGCACCTCATGTCAAAGAACTCTCTGAAAATGTCCTAATTGGGCCCAAAGTGTCAATATTTTGTGTGGCCACCATTATTTTCCAGCACTGCCTTAACCTTTTTGGGCATGGAGTTCACCAGAGCTTCACAGGTTACCACTGGAGTCCTCTTCCACTCCTCCATGACGACATCACGGAGCTGGTGGATGTTAGAGACCTTGCACTCCTCCACCTTCCGTTTGAGGATGTCCCACAGATGCTCAATAGGGTTTATGTCTGGAGACATGCTTGGCCAGTCCATCACCTTTACCCTCAGCTTCTTTAGCAAGACAGTGGTCGTCTTGGAGGTGTGTTTGGGGTCATTATCATGTTGGAATACTGCCCTGCGGTGTTCTCTGTATGGCCACCCGGCCTGGATTGCGTTCTTATGGAGAGCTGCTGGACGTGAAGAAAACCTGACTCTGACTGGCAGCGCTCTCCGCTAATGGGCAGCGGGGGGGCAATGGGGGAGGCGGTACTGGACCGAAGTGTGCCTCTGCCAAGCGGAAGGGGGGTTCCACAGACGTCTGGACAGCCTGCAGAAGGCAGCGAGAGGGGACGCACCCTGCTCCTCCTTCCCTGGAGCCGCTTGGATCGCTTTTACAAGAGCCCAACATAGTCTCTAAACCCTGCTGCTTGCCCGCTGCAGGGCAAAATGTATAAAAAAAAGAAACTTCTTGCCCGAAACCGCATGTCCCAGGCATCGGGCGATAGAAATTCAACATCCCTGCACTTGTAGTTTGGAGTCAGGGTGAATTACTGACACAGCTGCTAGATTCAAGGGGAAAAGGCTGGACTTCTCCCAATTCACCCAGAAGCCAGTGTAAGCACAAAAAATAAAAATTTCTTACAATAACGAGGAGAGAGAATCATATGGATCAGCAAGGTAAACCAAAGTGCCATCCGCATACAGAGATATACGTTCTTTGATCGTATCAATACAAACGCCTTTAATGGTGGGAGAGGTGTGGATACGAACAATGAGCAGTTCTATAGCCAATGAAAATAGGAGGGGGGACAACGGGCAGCCTTGACGGGTACGCAATGTATGTGGAAGGCATTAGTAATGCGAGAATTCACCCTATTCCTGGCCGTAGGGGCAGTATATAGAAGGCGGATCCAGGTCCAGGCAATTATAAGGGGGCCAAGCCATGTTATTGCAATAATGGAAAAAGATAGGGCCATTTAACCCTATCAAAGGCCTTACAAGTGTCTAAGGAGATGATAACATGAGAAGGAGGGCAATCATGAGGGTAATAAAGATTCTGGAATAATATGTAAATATTAATTTTAACAGAAATAAAGCCTCCCTGGTCTCCCTGTACCAGTCTCGCAACCACCGCACCCAGGCAATTTGCCAGGACCTTGGCTAAAATCTTTACATCTACATTGATTAAGGAAATGGGTCTATAGGAGTCACATTTAAGGGGATTCTTACGTGGCTTTAAAAGGACAGTTAATGCCTCCCCCATGGATGGAGGAAGCACTTCTGCATCAAATGCTTCTGTAAATGTTTGGAGAAGAAAGGGGCTAATTAAATGCTTAAATTTAACATATCATTCAGATGGGAAGCCATGGGTCTTATGAGCAGGCAGCTGCGAGATGGCCAGGTCAATCTCTTCTACAGATATTGGGGCGTCTAGCTCCTCCCTTTTACTAGTAGACAAAGATGGGAGAGGT